AGGTCAGTAGTAGCGAATACCATGATATTTTGCTCTCTAAATTATAAGCCGTCTTTTATATCTTTGTTTAAGTTAGGGGTCATCCTGGTGGTACTCCAAGCTTGAAATCCCCTCCCCTGTTTGCATCTGTCCTAAAAGAGAGGCGAAAGATATCAAAGGGACATTCAAACTCATAAGTGGAAAATAAACTGACAACGCAATGGATAAAAAAGAAAAAGACAAACAGACAAACAATACAAAAACACAACATAGAAAACTAAAGACTGAGCAACACGAACCCCACCAAAAACTTTGGGTAATCTCAGGTGCTCCGGAAGGGTAAGGAGACCCTGCTCCACATGTGGCACCATAAATTATACTAAATACGGCTACCTATTAGACCATGTGTTGTTTGTCCTTTTTGTTTTTATCGGGTTAGTCGTTATTAAGAAAGTAGGTAATTAAGTAACATTTGATAAGAGGGTATCTCAGTTAGCTGTTTTTCTGCTTGAAACTAATCTTTCAAAGTCCCTCTATCACCGAATTTCTGCTTACCATGAGCAACATGATTGACGTGTGCCACTGGAGGAGCAGGATCTATTAACCCCGGCTTTCTGAGCACCTGATATTACACCCTGTTTTTGTGGGGTTCGTGTTGCTCAGTCGTTTGATGAAGTGTTTACTAGAGTTGTTTGCCTTTTTTTTTTTTGGTTAATGTAACTTATATCTCTTTTTTTTCTGTCTCATCTGGATTTTTTTTATAAGACTCAATGATTGATTAAAATCTAAATCTTTATTTGTCATGATCCAAGTCAGGAGATGTTTATTCATGTTTCTCAGGAGTCGGTTTCACCAAAAAACTTACGACTAAGATTGATCGTAAGTATACTGAATTGTTCATGACTTACGACCAATCTTAGTCGTAAGTTTTTTTGTGAAACAGACCCCAGGTTTGGAAACTTTTGAAATGGATGTTATAAGAGTTATAATCTTGGTGAATCATAAACTAAAGATTGCATCCTAGAACACATTCTGTTTAGTTATGCGACCAATGTTGACATATAGCATTTCACATGTGGACAGCACTAAGCTAAAGATTTCCTGACCTGAGACACCATTTAGTTTGTGTTCTTGTCTCCCAGTTTCTATCCTGCGGTTACTAACCCTAAATTAAGTAAAAATTCTTCGTTTGTTAAAATTGATAATATTTTAGTGACTCTCAAAATTGATTACATTTTGGTTGGTAGATTGCTCCATAAACATGCTTACACAGCTAGTAAACACTCACTAGCTACACAGTAGGCATGGTGTCCGGTTGAGATTGTGTTTTTGGAGTGAATAGTTCCACTTTTTCGAAAGTAGACCTTGTTTTTTCGAGTGAAATTACATATGATAAAATAAATTTACTTTTATTCTGCAAGTATATCACTTTTATTCAATACTCCCCAACTTATTTTCAATAATATTCAAGTTTTGAACATTAACTACGCATAATTGTCTTCTATTTCATTTAAAGATAACGAAAATAGTACTGAAATGGTAAGAAAATTAAATGCTATCCAGTGGATAACTTTATCCAACGTTTTGAGCAACTCAGTCATGGAGTGAAAATTTAGCTCAAATAACTTCCTTAAAACTTTCCACTACTTTGCATTTATGTATTACAATGAGTTCCAGTCGTTTAAAGTTTGTGGGGAAAAAAGAATGTTTGCAAATGTCGGTATTTGCTAATGAAATTCTCAGTTGTTTTTTATTTGAAGTTCTTGATAGTGATATATGATGTTCAATGAGGATGGCTACCTGGTTAGTCACTATTTTGTTTAGTGTCAAGCACTGGTTTCGTCTCCTTACATCACCTATGCTTACCTCGCCTCCGTACATCACCTATGCTTACAGTATGAAGAAAGGACATGCATAGAGCCTGAAATCAAGGATTTGTACAGTGTCATTATACAAATCCTTGCTGTAATTCAGTAGTTGTCGTTTGTTGCTGTATATCATATATTTGTGTGTTGTTTTTCGTTCATTGTTATATACATGAATCAGGCCGTTAGTTCCTCGTTTGAATTGTTTTACATTTGTCATTTCGGGGCCTTTTATAGCCGACTTTGCGATATGGGTTTTGCTGATTGTTGAAGGCCGTATGGTGACCTATATTTGTAAACTTCTATGTCATTTGGTCTCTGGTGGAGAATTGTCTCATTTGCAATCATACCACTTATTTTTATTTTTATATAACCACTAAAAAACTTTTCATTAACTGAACTACGAAAACGAGGCCAAGTCCTCACATCAACCCTGCTAGACGAACATGTATACCTTACAATCACTCCATACATATCGTAATTTAAAGTAAAAAAAAATGCATTTTTCATCTCTTTTTACATACATTTTATATACACTAATCTTTAATTAACTATATTGCATACTTGCCAACTTTGGCAACATCTCCATGCAGGATTTTAAGCGCAAGAGGACCTTATATTGTTATAAGTGTTCTTAATCTATATATACATTATATCTGATTTATAGGGGCCTCGGTGGCCAAGTGGTCTAAGTAGTTACTACTGTAATCACTAGCCAGTCAACACTGAGGTTATGAGTTCGAACCCCGCTCGTGCGGGTGCACTCGACTCCAATCTTAATTGACTAGGATTGTCAGTTTTCCTATCGAAGGTCGGTGGTTTTCTCCGGGCACTCCGGCTTCCTCCACCAATAAAAACTGGCCGCCACGAAATAGCCCAAAAGCGGTGCTTAAAAGTGGAGTTAAAACACCAAAAAATCAAAAAATCAAAATATCTGATTTATATGTCCTGTCCTGTCCTGTCCTGTCCTGTACTGTCCTGTCCTGTACTGTACTGTATTGCATTGCATTGTATTGTATACAGAGGTGGATTTAGGAGCCCCCTCCCCTTTAAGGAGCTACATATGATATGGTTAATGCATAGACTTTTTACCTGTCCCACTCCACATTTCCTAGTTTGGGGGCCTTCTTTTTCAAAATCCTGAATCTACATCTGAGATAAGCTATACATAATTCATTTTGTTTTTAATAGTCAGATGCAGTTGAACGAGCTCTAAATGCATCCAAATTTCATGAAAATCTGAAATATTGCCCAATTACGTATTCTTTAACATGATCAAACCAAGTTTGGCATCACTTGGACATTTGGTTCAAACGAAATAATCCAGAAAGTCAATTGCAAGTTTCAGGTTCAGTCTATCAACATCTGCTGTTACTTTGACCTTGACTTTAGTGACCTCAAAATCAATAGGGATCCTCTTCAACCAATGGTGCATTACTAAACCAAGTTTGGATCACTGTTGTATACCCTTGTATTTTCATTTTACTTTAATTGAACTTAATTATGAAAGTGTATATGCCATCATGTTATACTATATTGTACAATCAACAAGAAAAACTTTAGCCGTCTTTGTCAGATTTATATGTATGTTTGTTTGGATTGTTTTCAGTGTTGTATATCTAAGATGTATGTAAACACAATTTTGTCTGCTGGATCCAAATTATTGTTAAGTAAACCAATTATGACTAATCCAGCTGCTTATACAATTTTGTTGATATGATGGAACATACTTTAGCTAGCTTTAAAACCAGTTTTAATGCACCATTTACTTTGGGAAATGCCTGTACAAATCTAGGAGTATATCAGTTGTTTTCCATTCCTTCCTTTGGTTGATTTAGTCAAGCATTTTGTTTTGTCAGGTATGGACAGGTACTACCTATTCAGTATTTTTTATACTTTTTCTAGCAACATCGTTGATGAGGCAGATGCCTCGGGAAAGAAATGAAACAGTGGAAGTAAATAAAAGTTTGGGAATCCCCTTTGATATTTATACACAACTTGTACCAAATTTTATTCAATTATTTATATGACTTACACATAAACATTAAAATACTAATAAAATGCTGTTATAATCTTTTCAACTGCTTTAATTTGATATGTTACCTTTTGTTACCGTTTCTCCTTAATTAACTTTCACTTTAACAGTGATATTTTATAAATTTTGATTTACAAAGGAACTGTATTCAAGTGTATATTTAAAGTTTAGTTGCTGTTCAAAATCTTTTTTTTTTTTTTCTTTATTCAAGGGCAAATTACATGTCAAAGTTAAGGGACTTGGTGGCCGAGTGGTCTAAGTAGTTCAACTACTGTATCACTAGCCTGTCAACACTCAGGTTGTGAGTTCTAGTCCTGCACGGGGCAGGTGGGATCGACTCCAATCTTAATTGACTAGAATTGTCAGTTTTCCTACCGAAGGTAGTGGTTCTCTCAGGTTTTATCCACTAATTAAAATTGGCCACCACAAAATAGCCAGCAGTGCTGAAAGTGGCGCTAAACACCGATCATTCAATAAATAAATCATGTCATAGTTGGTAGTACATAATTAAAACAGTGTTTATACTTTCTGCAATTCAATTAACACGTCTTTGGTTTCATGCTATGTCTTCAATTCAGAATTCTACACCATCTTATAATCCGTAGTGATCACATACTAGTAGTCCCAGCATTGCTGGATCAAAAATGAACAGTAACAGTTGTTCGAAACAACTTGTCATATCTCTTCTTGAAGGACTAACATTGTGTAAAATTTATACAACAAGAGGTTTGACCTAATTTGAAAATCCCTGTTATATGTTGCCATCAATACTAGGAACCAAAATCATTAATAAAACTTTCTTTTACATCACAGTATATCCCAAGCTATTATGAATCATTCATAGGATACAGGGAATAAAAAAGACAAACACCTGTGTGACAGAATGTCTCCATAAGATAAATCATACAAAAGGACATTAATGACACTAAACCAAAGGTTTAACTTTGACCAATTCAATGACTGCCTTAGAGAGTTCCTTCATTGTAACATCAAAGGTTTTCTCTGTGAAAAAAATAAATTGGTGGAAACCATGGTTTTATCCACTGGCAGAAGGAATCTTTTACCTGGTGCTTAAGTTCTATTAGAGAAATGAAAATAACTATAATGAAGCCAAGACTGAATGGTTCTATACAAATTTTAATAATGCAAAATATAAATATTGCATTGCATTTTTTTTAAATATTACAGATTTACAAAAAAATCGTATGTACAAATGACACATTCAAAATTAAATACTATTGAAAAAATGACAGAAAAAAACTTTTGTAAGAATGTAAGAAGAAAACATTAATGATTTGTATATCTAATTGAGTGAACATGAAAATTCATTTCTTATTTCATACATATGTAAAAACAAATTTCAGAGAATTTTATTATCTTATATTTGTAACAATACTTTTGTGACTTCTGTACAACTAGATGAATAACTTCAGTTTGTGCATGCAGAATTGCTGTTTTTTCTTCGCCATGTTATGATAAGGTGTTTAAAGGCAAATTACAAAAAAGTGACATTTGCAAACAAAACCTTTTTTCAAAAAAGAATGATTCCTATCCAGTTATATTATGAACTGTATAGATCTGGGAGTCTGAATTTAAAACCAAATAGGATAATGGTAATCTTTATAAAGAAGAGCTGTAACTCTTATATTCTATTTGGTATTGTGTCTACAAGCTTTTTACAATGCGCCATTCTAAGACATTGAAGTTAAAAGTCAAGAGGTTTTAACCTTTTGCCATGAACATACTATGCAATCATTATTATTTGTGAGATACCAATTTTCATTAATTTCATGGGTACAGGCCTAGGTGAACCAGGAATTTAAATGTTCAACGAAGTATACATTTTCTATAGGCTTGTATGCAGACTTTTGTTAAACCACTAAATCAAATATCCACAAACTTCAATTTTTTCCTAAATCCATATATTTGGTACCCAAGAAAATAAATGAATCCACAGTACATTACAAGCTAATAAAGGTTAGAAGGTAAACTCTATCTTTCTTGAAAGACTCTTCCTGATAATCATATCATCATGACAATGCCATTCTGCTGTCAAATGATTTTCGCTAAGGATGGTGATTTTTTTAGCTTCTCAACAAGCCTAAGGAAACACATACAAAATTTATCAAAAATAAGCAGAGTAAAAAATATCAACATATATATAAAACATGAGCAGTAGATAATGTCTATTTCTATATCTATAAACCTCAAAAGCTTTTAATTAACATTGAAGTTGTAGATGTTGAGAACCAAAAATAGTTTGTGAAAAATTATTGCAGATAGAATGATGCTATCCAAGTGGATAAATATTGATGACTTGGCAAAAATTAAAGGTTCATTACAATCTTTACTTATGTTTTTTTTTTTTATTATTATAGAAAATTTCCCCAACAAGATTACTTTGGAGTGACCCTAGGACACACAGTATATATGCATAGATATATGAAATTATACATGTGGATGGTTGCCCAGGGTACTTTAATAGTCTGTCAAAATTGAAAAGATAAACTAATAAACAGCTGTGCCAGAATGACAAGATAGACCCTTATTCTTTATATTAAAGTTGTTGCAAAGATAAAATGGAATATTGTAGATGGCAATCAATAATGGCCTAGCAGAAAAACTTGCAGGATATCCTCTAGCCTATAAAAGTTGCCTTAAATCTGAAGGTTGAAGTTCCATAACTAATTTTTTTTCAAATCAAAAGGGAGCTTACTTTGACCACTCTTAACACTTCTATTTAGTTTCGTGTAAATTGATCACAGCATACTGAGTTAGTGTGTAATACGTGAAAATTTACTTAATTTTGATTCTGGAAAGACAAAACCAGAAAATTTTCAAAATCATAAGAGCGCTTTCCTTTACCAATCCCATATAACAGGGTAAAGTGATTCAAGCATGTTTGAGGTAAGTCCGATCAATATGTGAAAAATTGGCTTAAATCAAATGGTTAAAGTCCCATAACTCTAGATCTTGAAAGACAAACATAATTTTAAAATTCCAAAGGTGATTTCTTCTATAAATTCAAATATTCCATAAAGTTCATGAGCAAAGCAAACTCTAGCTTTCATGCTAGCTACTTTTTGAAAGATGAACAACTGTATACAATAATAAGTCCCATCTAGGACAAGAATTAATTTTTTACATGAAATAAAAATAAACATTTTAACTTCTGATAAAGGAAGTGTTGATGCCATTTTTCAAATGCCCTTTAAATTTTACCTTTATATATAGCTAGGTTTTATTACTACTAATAGTTACCATTAGATCCTAAAATATAAATGACACTGAAATATGAGAGACTTTCCACCAGTTATTTTTTTTTTTATCTTGTCAGATTTTCAGGGATTTTTCTTATTTTAAGCCTGCTTTTTATTTATGTTAATTTGATAAATTTATGTAAAAAAATGCATTCTGTATAAGTAAAAAAATGTTTAAATGATTACATATCACAAAAAGAACAATCTATACCAATCTTTACAATGATATCTAAATGACTTGAAAGATCTTCAAAGTAGTAACAGAACTAATTTTAAATCAAAAAGCAGTAATCTCTTAATTTAAAACCTCAAAAAGTAGTAAAAACATTGTCGAACTCAAACGATTGTAATGTGAACATTTGCTTCGATCATAAAGACATCAATTGTAAAACATCCTTACAAACGATTGATCAGATAACAGAACTATTGATCAGATAACAGAAAAAGTTGATTTCTGTTTCAATCCACCAAATATTTACAAACATTGCAATATATATTAATAATTTATGGTTTTGCTTCTGTAATGTTAATATTTTACACCTATAGAATAGTTTTGACAGATGTCATTGGAAAGACTTCAATATTGCATTGTAAATATCACATGTTGATGAAATATAATGCCCATCTGACTATTTACATAAAATACACATGGTCCCATTCTAAATGACTTAAACAAGTCAGCACTATTTGTTCAAATCTTAAAGTATGATAACTGGTAAAATCAAGAACATGTTTTATGATCTATTAGGAGTTTAGTAGGATGAGTTCACTTGAAACTAACAATACAAACTCTACCTCTAGTAACCCTCAACTTGTTATCCTGATCTTCATATATATTGATTTTGCTTTGTTTGACAAGTTTAACCATGGCTAAAACTAGGGTTTGATAAAAGATGCAAGCAGCCAAACTTGAATAAGAGGCCAGTTTGAAATGATAAAATCTAAATTGATATATTAATCAAAAAAAATAATTTGTTAATTTTAATTGAAAAAGTTTCATTCTGATAAGTTGTTGAGAACAAATAATACAGATCATTATGGCTACAATTTTTGAAATTTATCAGAGAAATTCCTTTTTTCTCCCCAATATTTTCCCTGTAGATGGGTTTCAACATCATGTTACTACCCTTTTTGCCACCATTGGACAGTGAAGGTATGCGTTGTAATGTAAATACTTTGTAATTGCTTTTGATATCTAAAAAGTATAAATTTTGTCTGGCAACTGACGCAAGTCTAGTTCTTGAATCAGTATTTTATCATATAAATTTTTTATTTAAATATTAAGAAACATTACAATATAACTAAAAAAGTTGAAAGGCCATTTTTTCATGGTAAGTTATAGTGGGTTTTTTTATATAAAAAACAATGATGCATTATCTTTTTGAACAATCTAACTCTACTACTTGAATAAAATAATAACAGATTTGGAGTATGCCTAAATGACACAGCTATCCAATAACCTAAAAATCCAAATAAGATGTTTAGAGTTCTTTACCATATGTTAAACTCTTAATCACCCATAGTCTACAGTCAAGGTGTAAATAAATTCAAAGGAAACTACCGAAGACAGCATTTCATTATTTGAAAAGAATAAAAAAACCTTAATACAGCAAAAGACAACGAAAGACACAATTCCTAATATATGGCAGGATTAAATAAGTCTATTAACTATTTCCCTTCAAGCATTATAAACTTAGTCAACTTGTCCATGTATCATAAAAAACAGATGTCAATTTTCTGCAGCTTAAAAATTAGCCATCATTAACTTTTAAATTGAAAATGAAAATAACACTTAATTTGGTGTGTCTAAAGTGTTTTTCTGGATTTACCTTCATCAGGAACGCTCAAATCCCAAAATTTTAAAGCTAAGGATGTATAAATACCTGAACATGTGATAAGCTTTAATGACCCAAAGGGAAAAACAATGAAAAGCCAAATTCATATAAGGTCAATATTTGCCTGAGCAACTTTTGCCTTTTTAATTGTCAAAAAGGTTTTGATTCATATTTCTAGAAGACTAAATAAGAAGAGACAATTGTTTGCATACTAATGTTCTAAACTAATTCTATTTGGAATATAACAACCAACCAACCAACCATAATTGGGTAAATTTCAAAAACTCCAAACATACAAGACAGGGTGAATCCATGGAGTATAAGCCTGGCAAACCATGGAAATTCATACTCAGTAAGAAAAGGGAATAGGACAAAATCGGTAAATTTTCAGACCAGATGAATATTCCTTTGTCTTAATATATAAGACCACAAAAATATCGCCTCAAACTTATCTAAGCTTTATAATATATTAACAGGTTTACTGTTAAAGATCATTGTTTCAAATTACATAAAATTTCATTGTCACAACTGGTAGAAATGTTATAGCGTCTCCATTGCAGACTGGTTAACAGGGTCAGCTATATATCTTAACAGTGAGATTTTCAAAACGAACCTAGACCTGGTTAGTAAATTATACATATATATATATACATTGTTCTTCACAAATAATCTCATAATTAATGAAAGACAATATTATGCTTGGCATAATTCTTGATAAAAATTTTGAACAATACTCATAAATAAATAACTGAAAAATAGAAGTTGACTTTCAATGATTTTTAAACATTCGTATTATAACCAAGATTAACAGAAGCCAGAGCTTCACTGTTCTTATTCTTCAATCATTTAGTAAACCAGAGCTTTATGCTCTTATAGAATTATCAAACTCATTTTACTACTAATATGGCACAGATTTCTGGCTCAACTATTTTGATGATAATCAATAATTAATCCAACATGATAAAAAGTTTACTTAACAAAATAGCACAATTATAATCAGAATCATTATAAGAGGAGGTATGATCAGTCATTATATTGCCCCTGAAATTGCAAATATAGAAAAAATGTACATTCCTTTAAAACTAATAATTTTATTTATAACTGAATAAAAAAATAGTCTGGTCACTTTAATGTTGAAATATTCATACTAATGTCACTGAGTTATAATTTTGTCAAAATTTAACATATTTGGCTTACTTAAAAAATTTCTTTACTCACTTAAGTATCTTTTTACAAGACAGCTTGTAGCAAAACATCTTTTAAGTCAAGGCTGTTACTCATGTCTAAACTTTAAGGAAAAGATCTCAAAATGATGCTTTTTTGGAAGTTTTCCTTAAATGCAAGAAATTTTGAAAGGCTTATCAAATATGCAAGACAAAATGAAAAAAAAACTATTGTTTGACAGATTTTCTTGTTAATATCTGCATGATCTGAAGGATGTTATTTGATAGATTTATATAACATTTTAGTTTCCAAGCTCAAAGGGTAAAAAAAGTGACCTTATCATACCTTCTTTCTCATCAGTTTTTGCAACGTATCAAAATTCTTATCTTATTTGTCAGACAATTTCTCAACTGGTTTTTTTTATCAATATCTTAAGGGCTATTCCAGAAAAAAAGTGTCACTAAGGGGCAGAACGCCATTGATTAATTATTATGTTGGTGGGGGTAAAAGTTCAAAATTTTCTATGGAAAACAAATATTGCACCCCTGCAATTGGTACCCCTTAATTTCATGGGTGTTTTGCCCCCAGGAGACATCTTCTTCTGGAATAGCCCTAATCATTTGTAAGTCAAATTTCTGATCTCAAAATGTTTACTGTTTGTAAGAGGACAAAGGAAATTTTATCATGCTAAAAAAATCTAGCATAACAATGCCACAACTACAATCCATTAGAAATACTCATCTAAGTTTCACTGCAAATACCTATCTTAAACAGTTACATTCCCAATTTCTAATTGTCACAATTGCCACTTAATTTTCCTAACATATCAATACCAGAAAGCAAGACACAGGAGAAGAAGTACCTAAATCAGTTGGTGATAAATTCTATTTCAACAGTCATTTTCAAAACTTGATTTCATTTGTATACATCATAGAAAGATCAAAGATAAAAAAAATTTGGTAAAATGGTAATATACAATATTGACATGCAAAATACCTATTTTCACATTTGTTTAATGTACAAATTGTATAAATTATGGCTTTTATCTTTTTATACATAATATCTCAATAGAATTGCACATAGAGTGGTAGGAAATAATGTGTGAACAGATAACAACTTATACATAATAATAAATAATTAACAAATCAGTGAAAGACTTTCAATGTCAAATGAAGGTTAAAATGTGAATATAATATCATGTAATACATTCATTCTTTTTACTGATAAACAATTCAAATTTTTTGCACCAGATTTTAAATAGCATATTGTAATTCTTTAAAGAAGTTATTTTCTTTTCACAAATTCAAAAACCAAAATATCTAGCTTTCAAATATTCTCCATGTCAATTTCTTTCTTAACTTGTTTCCTCTTTAAAAAAAAAAGTGTCATATCCCTGGTATACTATAGAAAAAACTACTGACCATCAACCCTTTTAAAATATTACATGCATACATTCCCAATGCTAACACATCACACCATCATAATACTACTTCCATTTGGGATAAAGCAATAATTTTGATATCACGCAAAATACACATTTTGACATCCAATGCACATGTGAGGAAATGACTTGGATATCTAACATACAGTTATCATCACGACTCCAGAAATGACTTGGAAATCTAACATACAATTATCATCATGACTCCAGAAATGACTTGGAAATCTAACACACAATTATCATCACGACTCCTTATTAAAAGCCAACACTTGATTGAACCGTTTCTTGTCTATATTCATTCGTATTGTGTCTATATGTTTAAAAAGAGTATCCCCAGATATATCTTCTGGTATTTTTGTCAACAATTGCACTGAGTTACAGAAGTCCATGTGTGATAACAAATCTTCATGCATCTTTAATATACCTGTAAACAAAAGATTGTATAGATTAACAACAGATTAGTTACAAGGCCCTTACTTTAAAAATATAGACATTATTTGACATGGTATAATAAACTACTGCTTTTCATTTACATGTATCTGTGGTAAAGTCATCAAAATCATCTTAACCCCATAAAATGTGTGATGATTTCCGTGCACAGCACACGTTTCTATAATACCTTTTGTCACCAGGAACCAAAAGATGGACAACAATATAGAACATAGAAAAATATATCAAAAGGGACTTAACAGAGCAGTCAACTGTGTAAGTTTAACACTGTCATTTAAATTTGCAACATAAGCATTAGCATATTTACATCATTCTATGAATCTTTTAATTTTGCACTGTTTGAGATGATAGTGAGAGAATGAGTTCTCACAAAATTAAGTTTGACACTGTCATGACAGACAAACAAGCAGAAAAATTTCTGAATGAGATCGGAAAAGCAAGTAATATATATTGCATAAAAAACACACAAATAAGAGTGTTTAAGAATTCTTTATGGTGATTTTTACATGAAAAACATCAACATATTGTTGCAGATTTTAGTATGTTTCACTAAGTTTAGAACAGCGAATGGATAAAATTTATTATAAGCAAATTGCTCAAATTAAGGCAATTTGATGTTTCAACTATCTGTCTTCCTTGTAATTACTTCTTCTAATCCTATTTTATTTACAATGCCTCAAATATTCCTACCAATAAACCCTTCCCGTAATATTATATTACAAAGCAAAAGAGTTTACTGCATACCATTCTGTTAAAATAACTCTGATTTCATAACATTTGTTATTTAATCTTAAATCATACCTAAAGCTGTTCTGAACAGAAACTCCTCACCATCTCTACAAAATACATCCCAAACTCTGCAGGCAATATCTAAAGGCAGTGATTTACTAAATAAAGCAAATATCCTGCAAAAGGAAAATAAATATTATAAGTAAAGAAGATGCTGATCATTGTGCTATATAAGTTTGGTAAGACAAAATTTGTAAATTGTCAGTGTATAAATGTATATTATAAGAACATGATCATTCACTTCTCAAACTGTTTATAATGTCTTTACACTAAATCTGTTGGATGTGTACTGATGATACTTTAGTTGGTGAGAACATGATTCTTTTATTAGTTTTGATATACAGCTTCCAGTAACTGAGAGTACTATTATATCTGTGCTTTGTGACTGTTGTTTTGGGAAGTTTTTTTGGTGCTTCATACATGATCTATTAAGTAAAGCCATTTGCAACTGATTTTCATAGTTCGTTCTTACGTTGTGCTGTTACACTACTTTCCCTGGGTAGCTTATAGTGACCTGATAGCATAGTTTTTTTTTTCTGATTACATACGGCATGATTCATTTCTGTTATGGTTTTTGACAATATATTTTCTTACACAATCTGTTTTTAGTAACTATGTCCTTGACCATTGACCAAGTGGCTTCAAAATTAAGAAGGATCTTCCTCTTATTATATGTAACCACACATTACATATGATTGCAGTCCAATAAGTAGTATTTGATTTATCATCCTCAAACCACTTCTCTGCACAAATTTCAGTCTATTTTTAGTAGATCTGACTTTGACATTGACCTTAGACATAGTCACCTCAAAATCAATAGGGATATTCCTCTCATTATGTGTGAGCATACATCCAAATAAGGTTGCAATCCCATATGTAGTATTTGATTTACATACGAAAACAACATTTCTGTACAAATTGCAGTCTATTTTTGTAACTATGACCTTGACCAAAGACAAAGTTACCTCAAAATCAAATGGGATCTTCCTCTCATTAATTGTGACCAAAAATCAAAGGGAAGTTGTAATCCCATAGCAGTATTTGATTAAGCATCCAGAAACAAAAATGACAAACAGGTTAAAAACTATATAACCCCTGCTACTTTGTAAGCATGATGTATAAAAAAGTATAGAGGGCCATATGGGCCATAAAGGAATGTCTGTTGAAATCATGCAGCAAAACAGAAAACTGCATTCTATCAAAGATATTTTGCCCTAAATTTTTTTATGTAAAATATTAAACAAAATGCATACCATTCAGTAATATACAGATCTGGAGTGACTTTGTGTTTTTTAAAATGTGAGTATAATCCAGGCATATTCTCGTCAAAAAATTCTTCAAAAGTATGAAAATAAACCTTCATCTGAAATATACAAACAAACAATTACAAAGAGTCTGATATAACCCTACATAATAAATCACATTTGCCAAGAATTTTGAATTAATCTCAACAGAGATATTCCAAATAATATCTTGATATGTGATAGGAATAAATAAAAGAAAACAGAGATCAAAGTTTAAAAGAAATCTATCCTTTATACAATTACTGACAAACTTATCTTTAAAACTTCTCTTCTATAAAAATGAAAACACATACAAAATCACAACATTATCCGTCTAAACTCTGTATGATCCTATAAACTTTTTAACATCAAGCTGTAAGATATTTATTCATATGAACTTTATCATTAAAAATAAGAAATTTATAATCCATTTAGTATACAGATATTGCAAATTTTCAGTTTTGAAATAGAGTTTGGTATTGGAATTTTTTCTTAGTAGTATATAACATGAACAAGGCCACTTTAACATATTATAGTGGGATAGACAGAAGTGATCCTATCTGATATGTTAAACTATCTAAAAGGATCACTTACTGAAGCCCCTATATTAAATCAAAACTTTGTCATTTCTGAGCAATTGCTATCTTTGATTTTAAAAATTTTCTAAATTTGGTGTCATACTGATAAAATCTAATTGAAATGGTAATTTTACCAAATCAATAGTGTTTCTAAATTCAGACTTACCAATTCCTCATCTACCCTGAAGAAGGCGACTTGACAAGGACGATTCAGTAGGTTAGCAAAGCAAACAAAGGCATCGGCTACATCCATATTGAGGAGTAATACAGCAGCAATGAAAGACATACCTTGGACCTGAAAGTGGAAATAATATTACTCTAGATCCATGGATACCAATATTCTGTGGATAAAATGAAATATAAATGGATTAATACAGAAACAGTGTTGCACTTTGGGGACATAATTGTTTCAAACATTTCTATAATGAACTCCAGTTATCTATCTATACATTTTTTTTTTGCACACAAGACTTTATTTTATGTTTAACGTCACAGTACCCAAATTGCACCTATTCAACAAAAATAGCTGCGAAAATCTAACAAGTTTTCTTTGAGACTAAATAATTTGTATTTTTATGATTTGACATTATAGACGTCTTTTAACATAGGTAACTATATTCAAATATACAAAAAACATTCACAGTAAATATTTCAACAGATGAAGCACACTGGAAAAAGTAAAATCTACTGAACGTAGCCATGGGACGTTCACAAAAAGTTATCTTTTAAAAATGAGCTAATAAAATATGTTACAAGCATCTATTTCTTAAAAAATGAATACTAAGCATGGACTAATGTCAAATTGTTCTAAATATTTGAAGAAATAAAACAAAACAACTGTTATTCGATTTTTAAGGATGTGAATTAAAGCATGGTTGCAATTTGGGTACTCCTCATTACAGAATCATGGATCGTTTAGAGGTCGGTTCAAACCCATTTTTCTATGATTCACTATGCACTATGGATTCAAAATTAAATTGGTGTAACTTTACATTAAAAAAGGATACATCTACAAAATAAACACAGAATGGTAACTTTTGTCTGGATCGTTAAAAAACGTAGGTGAAAAAACTGTCAAAATAGGTGCAATTTGGGTACCCTCACGTTATGCTTATTTTCACTAACATCGGTCAATATAGTCAAGTAGACCTTTCACGAGCGTCACATGGTTAGGCACCTATTGAAATTTCACAAGGTGATTTTCAAATCAGTCGACATGTGGCCATTGAGTATAGCACACGCTTGTGCGAGTTGGAGATTGTTGGAGCAGTTGGGTATTATAATTGTCAGTTCAGGACATGGATATCCAAAGGCTAATGAAAACAACACTCAGGGTTAGACATTTTTACTTATTTATATTGTACATTGAGGCCAAATTGTTGTCAAGATAATATTTCTTGGTCACAGTCCAAAATGTCAGGATAATTGCTATATCATTCAAATGTATAAAAAAAATACAAAATTTTTGGGTTCAATATTTATTTTGTAGGGGTTTTAGGTCTAGTTTTGATGTGCTTAAAGCACATTATTCATAGCGTCTACTGGTCAGTGATAATATGGTAACCTCATGGTGTTAGCTGATATAAATTACAACACCTGGAGTCCTGTTTACAAATATGCAAAAGGTTCATTAAAATATCTGTCGAAGAAATGGAGAAGTCTGTGCAGTATCATGATGAATAAAGTCGTCATTGCTCACTGAAGTAATTATTGTAGTAAAATATATAATCTATTGTTCTCTTTATTAGTTTAGAATCAGCAAAAATGTGTGAGAATTAGTTTTTATCCATCCGTTTTGTGTGATTTTATAAAAAAATATTCTCAAAGTAGAAAAATGACAATGCAATTAAAACTGTACTGATTCCTCTTGAGTCACAGTAAACAGTCTCCAATAAATACTGTAATAACAATCTCTTGTAAATACTATACACATAATTCATAGAATCTAATACTATCTATATACATACATAGCCAACATCTGGTCTGTAGCATGCATAGGCACCAAGTAAACTATGAAGTAAATCATAATATGGACCTCCCTGAAAAAGTCAAATAATAACTATTTACCAAAGTGTATCCAAAACCACCGACTCAAAGTGAAGATCAAGACCCTCAAGGTTGTTATAGAATGATTTGATACCATATAACATGGTAGGGTCTATAATTACCTTTGAAAGTGTTTGTACCAAGTAAATTATATTTCAGTTCCATCTTTTCTCCTTCAACAGTGTTTCTCAATGACAACAGACAGTTAGATTTTTTTTATATCATATTCAAGTCAAGAATATTTCATAATTCTTTTTTCTTCATATTTCTTGCCATGGTATTGCCTGTTTATATTGGACTCATGATTTTCAATTGGCCCCTTCGTGTCTTCTTTCTATTTGTTTAATAAGTTGTTGAAAACTGGAATTCTATTGCTTTTCTGTGTGTGTTTATATATATATATTTTTCATATTTCTATAAAACAAGGTTCTTAGATCTGACAAAAAAAAACATTGCTTCGCCGGGCGCAGCTGGGGCAAAAATGGACACAATATTCGCGCTTGATACAGGTCTGAATTTGGATTGTAATTAAATATTTGACACATAATAGGTTTCTGAAACAGAATAACTGTAGTCAAAGAACTTAGAATTGGTTATATGATTTGAATTTATATTCAATTTTTTGCTTTTGTGCAATACACTGTGCCTGTGCGAATTGACCCCATCCCCCCCCAAAAAAATAAAAATTAACCCATTTTTTTTTTGCTTTTGTGCAATACACTATGCTGTTGCGTATTGATTTATTATATTTAATTTCTGAAATCTGAAATGAGAAATAATTGCCTCCCCCCCCCCCCCCACCTCTTTTAAAAAAAAAAAAAAAAAATCTTTCCCTCAAGATATGGTCATAATCTCAATTCAAATTACCAATGGAGTTTGCAACCATAATTACCCATTTAAATACATCATAAAAGTCTTAAATAGATAATTTAAAAGCAGTGTAAGGGAGGTAATCCAACATTGTACTATTTTGTTTTTGGATAACCTCCCTTACACTGCTTTTAAATTGTCCATTAACCAGGAAACCCTTGTTTTTCCCCCTTTTTTGCCCCTAATTCCTAAATGGTTTGAGCCATAGCCCCCCAAAGCCAATCGTAACCATCCCTTTGTGGTATGGAAACTTGTGGTATAATTTCAGAGAGATCCATACACTAAAACACAAGTTATTGTCTGGAAGTTACATAATTGCTTATTTTTGGCCCCTTTTTGGTCCCTAATTCCTTAACTGTTGGTACCATAACCCCCACAATCAATCCCAACCTTCCTTTTGTGGTATTGAACCTTATGGTAAAATTTCATTGAGATCCATTCACTTAAACTAAAGTTATTATGCGAAAACCAATGTGTCTTCGGATGACGACGACGACGATGCCAACGTCATACCAATATACGACCGCTAAAAATCAAAGACCAATAAACTTAAATGAAATTAACAATATAATCAGCTATAATATATTACCTATCTAAATTACTACAAATACCAACAATCATTTAATTTCTTTGATATTATCATATTTTACTTTTTATTACATGTTTGAAAGTACTATTCTGATATTAGCATGAATACTTTTATAATTAAACTTACTTTTTGGAAAATACAAAGTTGTGGGAATGTTCTGGAAACATCTAATTTGATGAGTTCTACACTGGACTCCTTACTGGACGGAGGCTCTGAGGATGCTGAAATAAAGACTGTCATTTAAAAATCTTGAATATTGGCCTTATTCCTTTCATTCATTCTTTCAACTAACACACATATAAATCGGTGATTGTCGTCCCAAAAAGCTGATTCTTCAATTTCATAGACCACATATCAAATGAAACAAATTTTCGAAAACCACTCAATCACAAAACAGTCACATTGAAATAGGTACAAATGTTGGTGAAATTAATTGAAATGATGAAATATTGAAAAAAAAAAAAATCCCCAAATGAGGACAGTTCATTGAACCTGTAAATTTAAAATTTAATGTGTAAAAATTGAGAATGGAAATGGGGAATATGTCACAGAGACAACAACCCGACCAAAGAGCAGAAAACACCCGGCCACCAATGGGTCTTAAACACAGCAAGAAAATCCCGCACCCGGATATGGGCTTCAGAAGGCCCATTCTGTGCATTTGTTAGTGCAAATCTTTAAACAAACAATATTATCAATACTACTTTTACCCTGCCACATTCTGTATGTGCCTGTCCCAAGTCAAGAGCCTGTAATTCAGTGGTTGTGTTGTTGCTGTATATCATATTTGTTTTTCGTTCATAATTTATACATAAATCAGGTAGTTAGTTTTCACGTTTGAATTGTTTCAGGGCTTTTTATAGCTGACTATGCAGTATAAGTTTTGCTGATTGTTGAATGCTGTATGGTGACCTATAGTTGTTAATTTCTATGTCATTTGGTCTCTTGTGGAGAGTTGTCTCATTGGCAATCATACCACATCTTCTTATTTTTATATAGTGATTCTGTACGTGTTGTAGTAGACTACCATTTTCAAAATTTTAAATGCAAATTCAAACACATTTTTACAGTTATAAAAAAATTACTTTATATTCCAGGACTTGCTTATCTTAAAATATGTTCTGTTACTAAAACTTACTTTCAGAATTGCCATAGATTTCAGAGCTTTCAATAGTCTGTCTAATTCTATCCTCAGCTCTACTGCAACAAATTTCATATAATTCTGAAAATAACAAAAAGCTTAAGTTGACAACAGCACATGTAAATAAAATGCTCCGCTGGGGCGCAGCTTGATACGACCGCAGAGGTCGAACCCTGAACAGTTGGGGCAAGTATGGACACAACATTCAAGCTTGATACAGCACTGAATTTGGATTGTAATTAAATATTTGACACAGCATAGGTTTCTGACACAGAATGAAAGTGGTCTAAGAACTTAAAAATTTTCAATTTACCTATTCATACATGTGATGGACTGTGAAACTCAGATCAGGAGATTGGGAAATTTTGGTCAGGAGATTAGGACTCAGATCAGGAGGTTTTTAATCGACATTAATTTTGTTGTAAATGTAACCGTGTGCTGTAAAAATGGTCTTTTAAAGTGTGTTTTCTTCAACTTTCCAACCAATTTATTATGTTTATAGTACCCTTGTACTTATAAAGTTTCTCCATCTTTATATTCTACATGTTCAATTTAACATTGTTTTTTTCCAGTATGTTCTTTAAATTTTTTACTTCATATTCTATAAAACAATCATTGCAACCAGAACATTTGTTTAGCTGTCTGCAAATAGTTTTTATTTTTTATTTTTTTCTCTTGCAAATAGTTTTTATTTGCAAACTCAGAAATTCATTCTATCTGTAAAGTTAGGGTCATAGTTATTATATAAATTTCAATTTAAGCCTTAAAAGGAAGTATAGAATCCTCAAATAATTTTCAAATTATTATTTTTTTATTTGTCCTAAGACATTTAAAATCATTTAATAACCATCCTTTTATGATTATTTGTTCAATTTATATTTTATTTATATTCTTTTAAAAATTTTCATTATTAAAAGGAAAGTAACTTAAAACAGGACAAATCAAGGGAAGTAACCCAATAAATACACAGTTTTTGTTACACAACGGCAGTTAGCCTGAGGTAAAAATCGTTGCTTACCAGTATGTTTGACACCCAAGCTGACAAGTGAAGCCATATAATTATGCATGTTAATTGATTTACAGGTAAAATATAACTTCAGGTAATGTCAGTTACACCAGATGCCTGAGATGTTATGTTGGGCAGAAATTTTTCATTCATGAAAAATTTCATACACGGGATTTTTTCAACGGGAGGTCGGGAGGAGACCCCTGAAAACGGGATTATTGTACTCCCATCGGGAGGTTCACATGTATGCCTATTCAAACCATATCATTATTATTTGCTTTTATATATAAATCAGAAATAACCAATTTAAAATGGAAAATGTTAAAGAAAAAAAAGGAAAAAAAAAATCCCCCCCCCCCCCAATTTTTTGAACCCCCTTATGATTCATCGCCCCCAAACTCAATCCCAGCTTTCCCTTTGTGGTATGGTACCTTGCAGTACAATTTCAGAGAGATTCATACACTTGAACACAAGTTATTGTCTGGAAACTAGAAAAATGCTTGTTTTTTGGCCCCTTTTTGGCCCCAAATTCCTAAACGTTTAGGGCAATTACCCCCAAACTCAATTCCAGCTTTCCCTTTGTGATATGGAACCTTGCAGTACAATTTCATAAAGATCCATACACTTACACACAAGTTATTGTCCTGAAACTAGAAAAATGCATGTTTTTTTTGCCCTTTTATGGCCCCTAATTACTAAAATTTTGAGGGAAAACCCCCAAAATCAATCCCAGCCTTCCCTTTGTGATATGGAACCTTGTAGTACAATTTCATAAAGATCCATACACTTACAAACAAGTTATTGTCATGAAACTAGAAAAATGCTTGTTTTTTGCCCCTTTTTGGCCCCTAATTCCTAATATTTGGAGGAAATTACCCCAAAAATCAATCCCAGTATTCCCTTTGTGATATGGAACCTTGTAGTACAATTTCATAAAGATCCATACACTTACAAACAAGTTATTGTCATGAAACTAGAAAAATGCTTGTTTTTTGCCCCTTTTTGGCCCCTAATTCCTAAAATTTGGAGACAATTACCCCCAAAATCAATCCCAGCATTCCCTTTGTGATATGGAACCTTGTGGAACAATGTCAGAGAGATCCATACACTTACACACAAGTTATGTCTGGAAGTTACAAAAATGCTTATTTTTGGCCCCTTTTGGCCCCTAATTCCTTAACTGTTAGTACCATAACCCCCAAAATCAATCCCCACCTTCCTTTTGTGGTATTGAACCTTATGGTAAAATTTCAATGAGATCCATTTACTTAAACTAAAGTTAGAGTGCGAAAACTAATGTGTATTCGGACGAAGACGCCGGACGACGACGACGACGACGACGACGCCAACGTCATACCTATCTACGACCACAAAAATTTTTTTGCGGTCGTATAAAAAGCAGAATACATACAGATATAGTTTAATCTAGTGTAATTTTTAAATAAAATTTTTAAATATAGGTGTAATTAAAACATTAAAAGAATTCATGACAAAAATCTCTTTTATTGTTGATCTTGTAATGCTGATCATTTTGTCTGTTTAGTTTCTCTCTGTCTTCTTTATTTTTTGCTCAAAACACAAAAGAGGTTAAAAAAAAATCCTTATTTAGGGACAATCACTCCTAAAAAGAATGACAGTCTACTAACTATATCACCAAAATTTGACTTGTTTGTAGATCTTGCCTTGCTGATTATTTTTGCTATGTAAAGTTTCTATTTATTGATTCTTATTTTTATCATTTAAGGCAAAATGCAAAAAAAAATGGTAAAAATAGTCATTAAAGGGCAATAACTCCAATAGGGATTTGTCAGACGATTTCCTCCATGTTATCTTATAAGATTCCCCAATGATGATTGTGGCCAAGTTTGGTTAAATTTGGTCCAGTAGTTTCAGAGGAGAAGATTTTTGTAAAAGTTAACGGATGACAACGACCAACGACGGATGCCAAAGTGATGAGAAAATCTGACTTGGCCCTGAGGGCCAGGTGAGCTAAAAATTAATAAACTGAAAAACTTAACATGCATCTTCTCTATAAAGACAATAAGAAATTTTTTATCAAATAATTTAAAGGAGTTTTTCATATGGTTTTAAGGGATAAAGCATATTTACACTAGTTAATATTGGAATTTGAGAGATTTAATACTTTTCAAGGATATGACATTATTTTTAGGGATAAATGATATTTACATTAGTTCAAAGAGAATTGATTATTTGGACTTATTTTCAGCAATATCTGATGCAGACTTTATTTGATCTAAATACATAAAGATACCCTAAACTACTGTTCCAAAATGTCTGAAGTAAAAACAGACCAAACCTATAGTGTTTGTTTTATTGGTATTTCCTTTAGAAATGTTTTGTGTTTTGGAGCTTTACAGGATTTTAGATCATGCCTTGATCAATTTGTGTCATACAGTGGTCATTTTTTAAGGGTCTTGGTGGCCTAAGTGGTCTAAGTAGTTCTCATTCCCTAAACTATTTTCTAATTATATATAGGCAAACTTTGATATTTTTTTTTCTAATGATCTGCACAAAATTATATCCTTCTATGTAATGTCATGAAATAGCAACCCAAGAAAGCAGTATTGAATTTGATGTCATTATTGAATTCTTATCAATAATTGAATAAAGAGCTTTTGGCTGTTCCAAAATTGATGGTGGTGGTGGTGGTGGGGGTGGTGGGGGTGGTTTGGGGTGGGGGTAATAGCAGGCACTCAAAGGAGTAGAGCCAGTAACCCCAATAAACGGCCCTGTAAATGTACATTTTTTTTTAATTCAATTGTTCAAGTAAATTCACTATGTTTGTATTGCTAAATGTATAATTTTTGAAAGTATAATAAGAAAAAATGTATATCTGCCTCATATGTTATAAATATTTTAGCCTAAAAAAGGTATAGATTTCATTTTAGTCCATTTTCCTAGAAATTCATCATCTTTTTCAACCTTATTTCATGATTGTGTATGTGTAGCTACCACTCACCCATTGACATTTTGGTTAAAAAGTAAAGAGTATGGCACATTTAAAATATTTTAGCAAAAATAATTGTGGGCAAGGGGTGGCGCCACTGATAATTTTCAGAAAACTGACATAAATTTCACCAAACTATGCCAAAAATCAGGCATTCACAAATTCACCTACATTCATGACGTCACAAATACATCACTAATGATGTAATTGGTGAAAAATATTTTATAGTGGAAACAATTGGACATTTTAACATATGTTTTAATATAATTTTCACATCATCATCGCAGTTAAAAAATTTAAGATTCTTAGGCCAACATTATGACTCCTTTATATATTGTGGGTGGTTGCATTTTCCTTAGAATTTTGTACAATTTAAAAAATTAAAATTATATATCATGCATGATTTGGGTCTAAAAAAGTGCCTCCCTCCCATGCCCACCATGTATTTAATTCTGGAACATCCCTAAATACAAACAACACATTGATCATCATGGTCAGAAAAGGTATCTGCTTTAAATTAAGAAACAATCATCAATAATTAGTTCTGTAAAACAGAGGTTTCAACTTTTACAGATGTTCTGTTTAGTCCATAAAAACTGACCAACAAAACATAAATTTTCTATGGATTTGATATCAAAAATTTTAGAAACCATAGAACCCAAAAAAGAAATTTATAGGCACTTATAAATGGATTTAGTATAAGTTACTTTTTAATGACTCTTTGCATCTGACCATTTGTATTTAAACATTACCTTTAGTAACATTGAGATCATTTCCAAATGCTAGCTGCCACACTCTTCCTCGAACATTAGTTGGTATTCCATGCCACCATAACTCTCTTGTTTTCTTTTGTGATTTCCTGAGAAAAATGTACAAAAACACCTATTGTGTAAGCCCTGGGTTTGAATTGTTTCACATTTTGACATGCCAGTGCCTTTTATAGCTTAATACTATTCAGTATGGGTTTTGCTCATTGTTGAAGGCTATTCAGTGCATTATAAATGTTTTACATCCTCATCCTTTGGAGTTTCGTGGTTAGTTATCTCATTGGAAATTATACCACATCTCCTCATATATATAAATTTGTATGAGAAATTGAAAGCAACATTAATCAATACTTTAGCCATAATTCACCTTTTTTTAAAATAAATCCTGTAAGAAGTTTCTTTACATTTAAAAAAAAATGTGATTTAGTCTTGTAGGTGTCGATTGCTTAAGATGAAGCAGAAAAGACTTCATATTTCCAAGTTAAAAAATCTATATATAAATCATCATGAAGTGTCCATTACAAAGTTTTTTTCTGTTTTCTTAAAATATTCACAATTTAAAAGTTCAAAATCTTATGGTACATGTTTTTCAAAATACATCCGTACCAGTTTCCTTAATTCAGAAATCCTATTATTCAGTATTATAAGTTAAGTAATTACTAATATATCTTTGCATTTGATATGTACTTAATTCTCCTATCCTTAGAAATCAATCAAATTACATGAGGATAATGGCTGAGTAAATAACTTATGTATCTAATGCAGCTTAACCTATGCTGACTCAAAAAAGAAACAATTGTTTACATCCACTTTATTTGAACTTTGTCTCATTGGCAATTATACCACATCGCCTTATTCTCATGCAGGAAATATATTGTAAAAATATTTCATAAGTGTTCAATAATTAAAGCAGTGGTATTTTTAGAAAATTAATTCTGAATCAAACTGACTAACCTATCTTTTTACTTTCACTTTCCTTGTTTATTTTGTATCTTTCAAAAACATTCAAAAAAGGTTGTCAACAAAATGAAGTATATGATCTGCAATACTGCACAATTTGTTGCAGATTATATTAAGTTTGGATGATTGTTATTAATGTGGATAAGCAAAAGAGCCATCTTATCATGCAAGTCCCACATAGATAATAACAGATGGCAGGGTTATTTAATGAAAATATGGGAGAGTAGGAAAGGATTTCAAAAAATCTCTCTTAACTTCCATACTTTCATTGAGTAATTTGCATACATCAAATTGACATACAACATTAAATGTCAAAAAAAAATCTTCTCTACCTGCCCTCCCACATCTATTTTGATGGAATAGCCCTTTATAAAAAAATAACTACAAAATCAAACAGAAATGTTTTGGTGATTCTTAATAACTTACTCCTTGTTTTTAAAGAATACATTTAGTAGGTTTTAAATTAAACTTTTGAAGTACAAATTCCCTTATTAGAGAACATACACTATTATGTAATATAAGTGTACAATATATGATTTTAATTATGACATAATGAATACATGTTGTTAACAACAAAATGCTTTTAACATACATAGTTTCCCAATTTGGTAATATTTCATCTGTCCATCTTTTAGCTGCACAAACGACTTTGTCCTCATTTTTCAATTGTTGTTGCTTTTGTTTTTTCTTCATCTTCATATCCTTCAATTCTAAAATAACAACCAATAAAAATATCAATTTACATGATGATTAATTAAAGTACTAAAAATTAATAACAAGCATCGTTGTCATAAAGTAGAATAAATTTAAATTGTAATAAAAAAAGTAAAAAAAACAAAACAATCCTAAACATTTCATTCACAACATTTTAACAAAGATAGATATTCCAGCAGCCTGTTTCATCTCTTGTATAATATATTTTTACACTTTTGTAATGATATATATCCAATTGCTTTTCATTATAATCTACTTACTTTGTGGAAAGTTTAAATTCATTAAAGACCGCCTTAGGGCCTTCAACAATAAGCAAAACCACAGTGTCTATTGGATCAAAATTACCATTTTAACTGTTGATGAAAAAACCCACCTTGACTGTATTTACATAAAATCAAGAGTATGTGTCTATAAAACATAACATCCCACTCATACTATAATTTTTCCATGTTCAGAGAACCATGAAATTTGGGTCAAACCCCTAGTTTGGCATATAATTTTAAAAGTTCACATCATAATGAACGCATGTACTTTGTTTCAATTTGATTTGAAAACAACTGCATACTACCTTAAAAAATCTTTACCCTTATATGGGATGAACGAACAGACAAAACAAGAATGTGTCCATAGTACACGGATGCCCCACTCGCACTATCATTTTCTATGTTCAGTGGACCGTGAAATTGGGGTCAAAACTCTAATTTGGCATTAAAATTAGAAAGATCATACCAAAGGGAACATGTGTACTAAGTTTCAAGTTGATTGGACTTCAACTTCATCAAAAACTACCTTGACCAAAAACTTTAACCTGAAACGGGAAAGTATCATTTTCTATGTTCAGTGGACCTTGAAATTTGGGTCAAAACTCTAATTTGGCATTAAAATTAAAAAGATCATATCATAGGGAATATGTGTACTAAGTTTCAAGTTGATTGGACTTCAACTTCATCAAAAACTACCTTGACCAAAAACTTTAACCTGAAGCAGGACAGATGCCGGACGAACGGACAGACTGACAAATGCACAGACCGAAATACATAATGCCTCTAGGTGGGGCATAAAAAATAACACCCTCCAACCTTCATTTCATAAAAATTTAGTAACCCAGGGCTGAGCAATGTAATCAAAACATCAATCAATTGCCTATTAAAACCACTTTGTTTTGTCAGTGTCTGGCAAGTTTGATAACTGCTGTGAATCTCATGATCATCTTGCCAAATCTGATCTTACACAAGAAAAAAATCATACAAAGTGACATAATAATGCATGGCATTTAAAATAAAATTAGAAAATATAGAAACTATAAAATAATCTGTTAAAATAAATGATTCCATTATGCATACATGTAAATTCACTTGTTCAAAGTGTTGTGGGTATTTATTTAGGCTAAAACAATCCTTGATTCAGGATTTTCATGAGGGAATATTTTTTTGTATTATAAAGCAACAACCTGAACACATTCATTACCTAGAATGATGGAAAAAGATGTTTTCTAGCAATAAAAACTTCAAACAACCATTAATGCATATAACCTCTTAACATTTTTGTCCAAAAATATGTTTAATTGCAAATTATCGTGTGTCCCAAAAGGGGATTTTGATATAAAGTAAACATGAAAAGAATGTATACAGCTGCATTTAAGTAAAGAAATTACAAAAATCTTAAGGCTCTATGCAGTATGTATTTTACTCATTGCTGAAGTCCCTACAGTGACCTATAGTTGTTAATTTCTGTATCATTTGGTCTCTTGTGGAAAGTTGTCTCATTGGCAATCATACCACATCTTCTTATGTTAATATCTAAATGAGGACTAAATCTAGATAATATAAAATACAGTTTGTATCCAATATCAACTATTTCTTTTTACCATCTGAAATTGGTTGATCAAAAGATAAGGATTTCATGTAATTACAAATAGTATATACGGTCAAGACTTTTTGTTTGTCTGATAAGTCTGTCTGACTGCGCTGATTTAACATCAACATTGGTCATATTAGATGGCCATAATTACCATTCCTTGCAACAGATAAGGTATATTTTATAAACTTATATACACTCAGGGTAAAAGACAAAACATTTTCTACCTAGGGGCCCAACTTGCCACAATGAGTTTAACATATCAAGCACTACAGACATCTGAAGCTGAAATTTAAGGGCCAAGCCCAATTATAGTAGCTTTGGCAAGTATTTTTCTCCCCTACCCTTTTTCCTAGCAGCCTCTACCATTGCTTCATATTGTTGTCTATGTTTCTCTGCCTCCTCTGGATCTTTGGTTGGTAGATTCCTATCAATTAAAAGCTTAATTAGCAATCATATTACTTTGTTCTTCGGTTGGTAGATTCCTATCAAACAAAAGCTTGATTAGCTATTATATTACTTCGTTCTCTGCTTTTCTGGAATTTTAATCAAGTACAATCATCAAAGAGAGCATCAACATTATTCTTAAGGAAAAATCAATACCCAAGATGGAATGTTTAAGACATGGAAGATATTAATTATACTATCTTAGATTTTAAAATCTTTTATCATTCCACTTTCTCCATAATTGTCAGGGCTGTGCATTCTATTGCACACAACATATAGTAATAAATGCAACTGAAGAGAAAAAAATCAATTATTTTCATTCCTGTGACTCTAATAACACAAATTTACAATGCCATGTTTTTATTCATTAACAACTTTCAAATTATCATCATCATCATTAATTATTTTCATTTCTGCCTTATATATACTGTAATTATCATTTATTTAAATGTATGGTTTCTGGTTAATTTGTTCACATAATTTCAGGTTAGGAAAATCAAATATTGAAAATATAAACATTAGCAACATTAATTAGACATTATCAAGTGCTATATTCACGAGACTGTGTAGCAGTTTCCATAAAGACTTGTATACATCAAGGCTTAACAGTCATTGACTTTATGACAAAGAATTATTGTGAAAGTATTTTTATTTTTGGAGAAACAATTTTCATTAGTTCATGGTTAATCCAAACAACAAATTTTAGAAAATGTTCAACTAAGTTAATATTTTTTATTTATTTGAAATGTGCACTTTCTGGAATTAGAAATTCAGTACTAAAACTCCTGAAGAATTTTCTATGATTAACCACAATAATTTTAACTTCACAAATAATTGGTTAAGTACATAGACATTTTGTAACTGTCTGTATTAGACTTACTGTGGTCTATTCTCTAGAATCAGAGCAGTGGTAGACATGACTTCAATATCAGATTTTTTACTATTCTTTGGTTGAGCTACTGATCGGAGTTTGTTTTGGAATTCCTCGGTTATCTGCTGAGGATCTTTATCAGGAGCTTGCTTTGGTGGGATTCTCCCAAATAATTTCCATCCTTGTTCAGCATCATCTTCAGATTCTTTAGCTTTTCTTGAAAACAGATTTCTGAAAATAATGACCAATTGTATCTTATTATATGATTTTCTAAATTTTTTTCTAAAATAACATTATTGATTATGAATACAGAAGAAAGTGAGCTATGAATTTTGAAGTTTGAGCATTTAGTTTCACTGCAACAGTAACTTCTGTTATAAACAGTAACGCGTCTTCCTGTTGCTAGATTTTTGGCCAAAGTGACATCGTGTATATATATATATATATATATATATATATATATCTTTAAAGATATCTGTGGTTAACAATTTTCGCTCCATTAAACAAAAAGAAGTATACTGATGTTATTTGTATGCATAGTGTGCACAAAGTGATTCAGTTTAAAATCCATTTGGTGGTGATTTTCCATATTGCATGCTAGTGCATGGGTGAATCACTCTAAAATATTTCTGAATATGCATAAATATCATATGACCGAGGCATAAATAAATCAGAGAGCTATCACCCCAGGGTACCAGAAATAACCCTGTATCACAATTAATCCCTTGAAACCAGGAACAGTGATTTTTAAGAAGATCAAGTAATTGAGTGCACTACAGCACAAACAATATACTGTTTGTGTATTTTTTTTAGAGAAGGTTATTCTTGTTCATCCCAACCCATTCCTTAATTCTCTCCCTTTTTGCAACTTTTACATGGTCATATTATCTCTCTTATTTTAACTGTTTTTAAATGCATGTAAATTGTTTGACTTTCATGAATAACTTTATGGTTTATTTAACTGTAAATGCATTTTCTATGTATGAAAGCCTCAGGCATGAATCTTGATTATTATCTATAACATTCAAATTTTAACCAAGAGTATACAATGTACATACAATATTCTCTAGCCTAAAAATGCAGACATTCTTAAATTTTGACATTTCAGTGTTTTGTAATTCAAAATTTGTCTCTTCTCTAGTTTGTAAATGTTGTCTCTCTTTCATTAGAGTTTGCTGCATACCATAAATACATATTTAAAATAGTAATTTTTGTCTAAAGTGAAATCGGGATCTGTCGGAGAAATACTTGTAGACAAAAATAACATTTTAAAAATCCTTAAAGGGTTTCTTTGAACCCTGTGTTTTGTTTGCTATTGATGTTGTCAGATATGTCAGACAAAAGTATAATGTTGACTACCAAACACTTAGTTCATTTGTCATTAAATGACAGAAACAATGAAAAATCTTGAAACTTTTTCTTCATATACTTTTTCTAGAAGAAACATCTGTTCCAAGTTTCATAACATTTCATCAAAGTTTGACAAAACTTTTAATGTCTTAAAATTGAATCCCAGACTGAATTCAAATGTTAACTGCCTTTAAAAACTAAGTCCATCTATCAGTAAAATGCTGGAAAAATGAGAAGAAGAAAAAATCAGAATTTTGAATAAACATTATCTCTTAATCCCTTTTAAACTGTTGACACAGAGATATGTCAAGCTTTTATGTAATTTTTATAGTATAATGCAATTGTTGAAATAAATATGTAAACTATGCAAAACATTCATGTCAATGAACCATGATGAGGAGTCTAGACCATATAATCTCTATGGAAATAGGACTTGCCAATGCTTAGTCAACTGCATACCAAATACCATTGACCTAACACTAGTGGTTCCCCTGACCTAATCACAAACTTTAACATGTAAACCTAAGGAAAAGTTTCAGAGTCAATGGGCCATGACTGAGGGGGCTGGGCAAAATAATCTCCATGGAAATGAAATGTTTCAATAAAAATACAACAGCATACCAAATATCACTGACCTACCACTAGTGGTTCCCCTTAAATTGCCCTCTTCACAAACTAATATATAAAAAGATATTTTGTCAAGATTTTTTTCTAATATATTCAACAGTTGAACATGTAAACTAATTAGCTGTGACTATTTTGTATTATAAATTTTGTTACTTTCTGTCTGTTTACCCTGTTAATATATCATTATAAACTATTCACTACTAGTCATGTGTTTAAGATTCATTAGGCTATTTATAACTTAGTGCATCTATATCATCCATATCAAATACATATATACCAACCCAATCATAGGTTTGAACGTTGTTTTCAATTAAGACTTATATATATATATATATATATATATATATATATATATACAAGTAAAATTCAATTTCCTTTTATGATTGTCAATTTCCTAATTTAAATTGGTACAATCTTTTATGATACCTATTATGAAAACAAGACTGTGAATTTGCATCCTGTTTTATTAAGATTCACACTAACGGAATTCATAGATTTATCAATTTCATCCAAATAGTTTGTTCAACATTTTAATCATGCTAAAATGAACCTTCTGTTTTCATCTTTAAAAGGTGTAAAATTTAGTTAGGTTTAATACAGCTAAACTTCTCATCAAGACTCATTTTTTTAACTAAAGGATTTTCAAAACATTCTGCAACATAAAATGTGATTAAAATATATTTTAAAAGAAGCCTCATAGTCATTGTTTAAGGTCATTAGTTATTTATGACAATCATATATATATGTAACAGAAATGACTAAGTAAATAGCTCTACATCCTTAAGGCGAATTTGAACACTTGAGGTAACCAACTGCACTGTAATTTTCTATTTTGAAATGAATGATCAGTATTGAGAGCTTAACCTAGAACTTCAATCCCAGTAAAAGAGAAGGGGAAGGTGTCTCTATTTGAAAAGGAAAAAGAAATACTGATCTATATGATAATTTGGTAAAATCAATATTTTATCTATCATCATGAGATAATATGAGATGGTTAGATTGCTACTCAGAACCCTTTTTCTACTTGAAATTTTTTTTTAAAATACACATATTTTTTTAAACAAGAATTCTGTGAGTATTGCATGGTAATACATAGTCCCCTACTGGTTAAAAATTCATTGCATTGGAACAATATTCTAACTTAATCTATAACTTGTCATGGTGTAAACTATACAACAAATATCAAGTCAATATCTTCAAGCATGACGAAAAAAAGTGTTGAAAACTGATTATTTAAGTGATTTTTTCAAGTCCAAGGACCATAACTTTGCACAAAATCATCAGACCGAAACAAAATTCAAATTTTATCTGTAACAATTTTATCTGTAACTTGTCAGGATGAAACTATATAACAATTTTCGAATCAATATCTTCAAGCATGACGAAAAAAAGTGCGGAAAACTTATTATTTGAGTGAATTTTTTGAGTCCAAGGACCATAACTCTGCACAAAATCATCAGACTGGAACAAAATTCGAACTTAATTTGTAACTTGTCATGATAAAACTATATACTAATTTTCAAATTAAAGGGGCACTAGCTACGAGATATATAAAAAATATAAAATATGATTTATTTTTGTTCAATCATGAATGAAAGTGACATAGTGAAATTATATATCGCTTTTAGCAGCCAGTATGGTTCAATTTTGTCAAAATAAGCTAAGAAACATTGACGATGAATTATTCACTTGCAAGTGAATAATTTGACCTCATTGAATCTGTATTAATGTGAACTTCAATTTAACCCCTTAGCTAGAGATGGATACCGCATGCATTGTGAGTGTTCAATTATTTAAAGGAAAAGAATGTCAACATTGAAAGTGAAACAAAAGTAAATCATTTGATTGACCCACCAAAAATCATTCTTATACAGGTAAAAACGATGATTAACATATATTTTTAATCTTTAATATGAAATTAAACTGACCTAGAAAAATCCAATTGCACGAGTCTGCTATCTATTTATATCTTTATTTATGTTTATATTGCTTATATGGCAATCAGAGGTCAATGCGACAGTTAATTAGATGGCGTCTAGACTAAAATACACACGAAACGAAGCTACATATTATCGAGCCCATGTCCAGTATATTGTTTATTGTAGACTTTTTATGATTTGGATGAATGTTTTACATTGTTATAATTCAAATATGAGAATTTGAGTCAAATCAGTGAACATAAATTTGACAGCTAGTGCCCCTTTCATATCTTCAAGTATGATGAAAAAAAGTGCGGAAAACTTATTTATATTTGAGTGAATTTTCTAAGTCCAAGGACCATAACTCTGCACAAAATCATCAGACCGGAACAAAATTCAAACTTGATCTGTAACTTGTCGTGATTAAACAATATACCAATTATCAAATCAATATCTTCAAGAATGACCAAAAAAAGTGCGGAAAACTGATTATTTTAGTGATTTTTCTAAGTCAAAGGACCATAACTCTGCACAAAATCATCAGACCAGAACAAAATTCGAACTTTATCTGTAACTTGTCATGATTAAACAATACAACAAATATCAAATCAATATCTTCAAGCATGAAGAAAAAAGTGTGGAAAACTGATTTGCCGTACTGACGGATGGACAGATGGACGGAGTGCAAACCTAAAGTCCTCTTCGACTTCGTCGGTAGGGGTTTGGGACTAATAATAATCATGATGAAAATTTATATGCGCATCTTTTACTAAAGTATGAAAATTTACAACCTTTAATTAAATTATTTATTTGCTATTAATAAAAGCATAATGTGTTCATAATGCAAGTAAAAGTCCGGCACAAATTCCCCATGTCTGTATAATGCAGGCAGGAGTGGCTTCAGTCATTTGTGAAAGGAATGGTTAGGACTTAATAAAACTTGATATTTGGGCAGTGAATGCATTAAAAAAGTAGTCAAACTTCAAATTAACCTGAGTTAAGTAAAAGTTATAGAGAAAACAGACATAAAGAGGTATACAGTAAAACCTAAAAAAAATCCTACAATCTTAAATGATTTAATTCATGCTTACTAAAAAAATTAGCTAATTTCCTAATTTTAAACATGTTAAAGGGGCATAATTCTTGAACAACAAAAGTTAAATGGGTCAAACTCAATCTTTATCTGTAAATAGTGGTCCCTTACATTTCCACATGGACTAGAGACAGTGCTATAGTGTAACTTTTATTTGGGAAACAATGTCTCTTCATTGATGTTTATAGGGCTTTTTACATAATTTTAAGCATCTTTAATCAGAACTTATCTGTAATTTAAAG